TTTCCATTTTTTAATGATGATATTGTAGAAAGTCAAACAAAATTTAAAAGTGTCCCAAAGCTGAAGTTCTAAACTGCATAACTCAACTTATCTTAATCGGATTTAAAATTTTGAAATTTGAAAATTTTGAAATTTCTCGTTAGCTGAGTAACGGGTATCTGATAGCCGGCGAACTCGACTATGGCATTCTATCTTGCTTGGAGTATATTTGCGTTCTTCCCCACTATTCTCCAACAATATCTCCGAACAATGCAATTTAAATATCCATTAGGCAGCACTGCCTGCCACAACAGCTGCCCCGACTGATGAGCTGATTGACTGCCTGACTGACTGACTGACTGACTGTCCGATATCAATCACACCCCTGAATGCCGAATCCAAAATCCGCATATGCAAAAAGAGGCGCATGGAAGTAATCGGCGCGACATAAACAGCAATCGAGGGAAACGGTATGAACTGTCAAAGGCAATTGTCAGTGGCTTTGTTTGGACTTTAGGGGCAAGTCCCAGCCGGTAGAGAATGATCGATCATCGTGGGGAGGGATCAATGCATCAATCTCGAGTGGGCCGGCTCGGAGGCCCAAATGATCGTGGGAGTTTCTCGCTTTGTATCTGCTAGTTTGCACCTTTCGAGGCTCGCGCTGAACTCGAAACTGAATGCTGAGCACGTGCTGGCGTCGGGAACCCAGTGCCCGCAAGGCATTTAAATCTCCAAGTGTCGTCTAGTCGGAGCAACTGAAGCGGCAGAGGAAAATGATGGAGTAAAGGAGCGAAGGACCAGCATAACTCTGGGCCACAAGAAGTGCAGCTGTTGGACTGGCGGCTTGCCGCAGTCTTAGCCACTTCCTCTTCGTGGTCTGCTTGAAAAGTGCCGGGTGTGGAGTGGGGCCAACTGAAGCTAACCCGTGCCATCCCCATCCTCATTCCCAGTCCCATTCCATCTACGTGCCCTGCATCCACACGCCCATAATTTCGGAAACCAAATTAATTGTTGTTATTATTTACTTTGGTTCGTTCTGGGCCGCTTCGTTCTGTTAGCCGTACCACCTGTTATCCAGTTACACTAATTGAATATCAATATTCTGATTCCGCCGACAGCCCGCCGCACTTTTCATTTCTATAATCCCCCATTGATGGCCTGATAAGTTAGGCTCAATCCGAAGCTCAATCGCAGGCTCAAGCCCATGTCATAATCATAATCGTAATCATAATCGTAATTAACTTAAACGGTTATGCGCACCGTTCACTTTGTGGCGTCTCCAAGCCCCGTCTCCCGATCTCGATCCTCAATCCTGTCCAGCTGCTCTTGAGGCAGGTCAAGTCGTGCGTGTCGCTGTCGTCTGGTTTTTGGGTCTGGGATCGGGATCGGGATCGGGAATCTGGGATGACTTGATTACAGCCACATGCGGGATGTTGGTCAGAGATTTCTCAGCTCGCAATTGTAGGCCATCTGCTGCAGCCAAGTTCTAGGTTGCTAAACGAAATCGAAATCGAAATCGAGATCAGCAATCCAGTTAAGCTGGCTTGGCCAACCAGCGCCCAGTTAGTTGGGCTTTATCTTATCGCACTATCAGGAACACAGAAGCACTGGCTTTTAATTAATGCGCTTTAGATAAGAAGTTGGCCAGGACAAGAGGCGATCTACTTATAAGAAGAGCGTTTTAGGTTTACTATTTTCAAAAGCATTTAAAAACTAGGAATAATGCCAGCAGAAGTTTAATCTATGCTTTAGTATTTAAGGCAATTATCATTGAAGCTAGGCTTAAATGATAGCCTGATGCGTTTTATGAGGTTTCATTTATAAATCAACAATATCAATACACACTTTTGGAACAGAAGAACCGCCGAGCGCCCGAGGCAAGTAACTGCAAATGGAAACACCCCATTTGTGTATCCACGAATTCCATCTTCGATTCCATTATGAGGGTCGAGTTCCTTGACATGCCACTGCGAACCGCATGGGCCGTCCCCCAATCAAGCTGCTCATGAGCAAAGCACATTAGGCCCGGAATGGGATCCCGCCCCAAGCTCATTATGCAAACAATAAGTTGGAGGCAGTCGGAGGACGACGGTGTCGGGAGCCAAGTGCGCCGGGTTGATTACGCCGCGAATGTGCCGAATTTTCAACAGTCCATTTAGCTGATTAAAGTGTAGGACAGCGCAACTGCGGCAGCGATGCGATTTGGGGTAATTTGGGTGATGGGGAAATGGCAGGGTCTTTAAGCACCTCCGGTGCGAAAATTACAGCTTGCGATCTGCGTAATATTGGCACCTTACCTCGGGTCCATATCCCATACCCTGGACCACAATCGGTACTCGCTACTTTTGATATCTTCCTACCATTTTTATGCCGAACCATGGGTTTTTGTGGTTTTTTGATTGTTCTGTTAGGCGAAAGAAGTCATAAAATTAAATTTATGGGTCATAATTTTACGATCAAAAGTAATTCGGCCAGGAAGATGGCCTGTCCTGGAGCCATCGAAGCAGTCCACCCTTGTAATTGGGTTCTAATCGAGCTCATTTATGCGACCACGACTCCAAGAGGGCCATTAGCATTGGCCTAACATGGCGAGGGCTCCCCCGCCCCCCCACACATTTGTCAAAATTTCCGAACAACTTTTAAAATCAATTCCTCTTGTTCGCGTTTTGTGGGTGATGTGAGTGGTTATCAATCAGTCAATAGGCAAAGCATTAATCCGACGAGCTTTGCTCTAGGCCCTGGGTCTCTGACTTGGTCTATTAGCGGACCTCCCAGCGCGACGGCCAATTAATTGCGTAAATGGAAAAATTGCCCTCGGTCTTTGTCTTTGCTGGGTGCCACAAAGTCACACTTCACTGTGGTCCGAGATTCGGCTACAGTCGAAGAAACAATTTGGGGGAATGTGTCAACAATCATGTATCTGTGCAGTCCGCCATAGGGGTCATCAATATCTGCGGCTGTCTAGAAGATTTTTCCTAATTAGGATAGAGCTTTCCCAGTGCTGTCTGCTATAAATATTTCTTAAGCTGTTTCGATAGTGTTGTAATAAATATAATTGCATTTCAAGAGTGAGCACAACCTTAATCATTTCTCTTGGTGCAGTAGAGCAAATTAATTATTAATATTTTTGGGTCGAAAGCTCGAAAAGCCATTACACCAGTTTTTATTTATTTTAACAGTCCGATGATTAATTCGATGCGCCAAAAACGAATTTTGGAAATATCTTAAAACACAATGACAGGCCCTTCTTGGAACAGCTGGAGCTTGGCGCTCTCGGAGCACGCGCTCATTAGAGATCGGTCCGATCCCAGCGTGACTCTGGATCTATGACTTCGAGGTGGGACCACACCGGGTGTGTGTGTGTGTGTGTGTGGTGTGCCTACATTAAGCTATCCATGCTTATAAAGTAATGTTTAGCAATTAATTGCGAAGCCCAAAGCAGCTGCCAGACGGCAAAACGGACGATAAGCCGGATCGAGACAGATACTGGGCTATACGGTTTAGCTAGTTGTGAAAATGTGCATTTTCTACCACTTTCTGGTTGGGTCGTACATATATGGCACATGTATTTGTCACCCGTATCATTTGCTGTGGAGCGTTAAAGCGACAACAGCAGCAGCAGCAGAAGCAGCAGCAGCAGCAGCCATTTCCAGGCCATCCGCGTAGTTACGCGTCTCCAGGCCCAATCCCGTATATATCTGGCCAGCCAGAGTTGCAGGGGCCAATCCCCTCCTGCCACTTTTTAATTACGGGTCACAGTGGATGAGCAGGGGCAGCAACAGTTGCCACTGGTCGCTGCCACTTTTGTTACCATTTACATTTCCTGTCAACGGCATTTTCAATTTTCACTTTAACGCCTATTTGCTCCTCCATTTCTTTTCCTCTCCCTGTTAAATTGCTCTTCTTGGTCTGTTAATTGTGTGTGCTACCAAGTGGACGCATAAATTGTATTTTATTTTTTGTGCCCTGTAACTTTGGCCCAAATGGCGATGCGGGCTGATCAGGTGAAAACAAAAGACGCAGCAAGCATTAGGCCCAGAAATGCCCCCCATCTCCACAAAGAGTTCACCCCCTGGCTGATCTGGCCCTGATATTGTTGCCACTTGTGTATTCTCATGTTGTGGCTTTTGAAAAATAATTTATTTGGCCAATAAGCAGTGGAAAGTTGGTGTGTTCGGGGGAAGAATATATATTACTTACATGTTCATCATTAGAAAAATGGTTTACTATTTACTAATTGCATTCAAAATTCAAATGTATTTAAGCTAGGAATATTTGAAAATCCTAATTCTAGCTCTTTCATATTTTTTTGTTTTGTATTATAACTTTCTAGTGTCTATTGATTCCATTTTCATATGTATTGCGAACTATTAAACACTACAAATATTTATACATACGCGCGATTAAAAATAAAAGCCAATGCGGCTCAGTTATCGGAATGTTTAATGTACAATGCATATAAAGCGGCATAGCTCGGCATTACCCAGTCCATTAATCATCCCCCTAATCTGCCGAACATTTCAAACGATAAACCCTTGAATATCTATGCTCTGCCAAAGGTTTCCACTGCTTTTTGTTGGCATATCCTTAACCAGAGTTAAGCAGAACAATGGGGACTGATAAGCGGCATAATAAGTAATTAAATTTCTGTGATGCTTATCGAGTATGTAGCCCCCGCCACAGAAATGCCTCCATCTCCATCGCCGGAACTTCAAAATCTCTCGCTCTCTCTCTTGAAAGAGAGAAATCGCCCGAAGCCTTTGTGTGCGTGTTTATCCGACCAATCGCAGACGAGAAGCGACGACTGGAACTGGAAGCAAGTGAGACTGCCTGGAAGGCAATGTATCTGACGGATACGTATTACCACTCTGCCAGCTGCGTGGAGTTTTTTGGCAAATTATGCGGGTGGCTCGTCGCTGTATCGTCGCTTTCCCCGCTTTCCCCGCCTTCCCGCTCCGCCGCCCACTTTCTGGTGTTTTGTTGGTTTTTGTAGGTGGAGCCAGAGCCATAATACCATTCCTTTGTTGACAAAACTTGGCACTACTACTCGCTCGCTGAAGTTTGTTTTTGTCTGCTGCTGCTGCTGCCGCTGCTGCTCTTTTGTTTTTCGTATCTGCCAGATACGCGCGCACATCCCGCCCTGCAGGTTGTTTTCGAGGTCCAGCGCAAAGGTCGTCATTCTCACGGTTGTTTCCCATCGTCGGCGTCGCGTGCGCAATTCAGTTCAATCCAATCCGATCCGAGGAGCTTCATCTAGCGACGGCTATCCGCGAGATACAAGTGCGCCCCAGTGGATACAAGTGTCGCCTAATTGGATTACAATGCTCAACGCAGCGCTTTCGAGTCGCGGAAAACTCATTTAAGAGCAGTTCACATTTTGTTGGATACTTCTAATTAGACTGCCCAATACCTGGATTAAAGAAGCTGTTGCAATTGGAATATGGTTGTTATGTAAGTTCTAATCTTCTACTCTCCTTTTATGGAAAAGCTTAAATTCAATGTCAGATGATAGCTACAAATAAAATCCTGAGGTAAAAGTAAGAGAATTTAAAACTACCACAGATTAAAAAGGAATACAAGTTTCAAATTTTTTGAATATAATGTTTATTATGTTGATTTATTAAACAAAATTGTTTAAATTAATTTCGAAAGGTTTTTTTTCGCAAAACTCAAGACATAGGGCTTCTGAAGAATTAAAAACCGCTCAGTCAAATGTTTCAAATTATTTCTAATCAAAACTGTGCCGACGCGCGTCAAGTCGCAGCATCTGCGTAAGTGTTGAGCTCCCAAACACCTCAGATCAATCTGGGATGAAGAATGGGCCACAAATCAAACGCTAAAGAGGCAGCGGGGGAGGTCAGGGAAAATGTAAATGATTTCAAACGCTTTATTATCACGCTGAGCGCGTTCCACAGCTTGGTTAATGGCACTCCGCTCCGCTCCAGTCCAGTCCGCTCCAAAGAGCCGCGGGGTGTGCCTCGTATTTGGATGTCGGATTTCGGAGGGGGGATCCCGAATCTCGGAAACCGGCGGACCACACGCAGTCGTAGGCGGAGCGGCGCTCGCGTGAAAGGGTCAAAGAGCCGATGATGATGATGCCCCCCCATCCCTTCGATTTATAGAGACATATTTTCTAGGTGACAAACTTATTATGAGCCCTGGACAGGGAGACCCAAAAATACAGATCTCGAACGAAGTGAGACGCTATCAGCATCAGATAAGCCCGACTAACGAGCGCCCCGAAGTGTCGAGCAGTCAATTTACGGGCCCAAAACAAAGCGAGCCACTAAGCCACTAACCACGAACAGGTTGAAGCGGTGGTAACCCAAAGACCACCAAGCGATCCCTAGCCCAGGTATTTGGTATGTGGTTCTGGGTGCTTCAGACCCTGCAACCTGCTGACTTCCAAGTACAAATAAAAACGCTCAGGGGACCGAGGCGGATCGATCCATTGGCTCGCAGCCGATGGAAGACAAATTTATTGCTAATTGCAGAGCGAGCCTCTAATAACTCCCACACATGGAGCATCTCGGCTGAGGCCCTCCATCAAGTCTGGCGATTCCCAGCTGACTCACGATCGGAGCGTCGGTTTAATATGCCTCTCCGCCTCCTCAGCTGGCGCTCGAATTACGATTCTGGCCAGCTTGGAGCACCCACTGCACAGATTTGGGGCTAACGGTACCAGCCCTCTAAACTGGGCCTAAATACCCATGCGTCTTCATAAACCTGGCAAGCGATTCGTTTGATTGGCTTGAGTTGGGATGACCCCCTACGAAACGTTTAGGGCGCAATTAAGATTGGATTTCAGTTCCTTAAGCGATGCTTAGGCTTTAGCGATAAAGTCACAGTTAAATGGATCACTTAAGGTTTTACTCGAAATAAAGAGTTTAGTGTAACTACCTTCAATGAAGTTAAAGCCGTGACTCACAGTATTCCAAAGAGGTGTACTCCACCTGTGAAAATGGGAAATAAAATAACCATAACTCAAGTTAAAGTGAAGTTAAAGTTAAAAAGTCAAGTTAAAAGTATGCTATCTTTGGTGAGATGTCAATATATTCGTGCTGTTTTCTTAATTTTGAATTAAACTGTTAGTACTCTAAACAATGCATATAAAATGAAACTTATCCGCGATCCTCTACAGAAATGGCTACAGCTTCAAAACGCAGCCACTTCTCACACAGCAGCCCGATCACTCTCAGCTCACCCAGTTCCCGCAGCCGCAAAGTCAGGGTCCGCATCCGGGTCACAATCCAAGTCCAGGTCAGCAGCAGGCGGGTGGCTCCATGACCATGCCGTCGTCGTCCGCGAGCAAGGGGAAACGGGAGTGGGACATCAACGATGCCATTGTGCCACATGTGCCGGACCAGGAGTTCGACGAGTTCAACGAGTGGAGCGACGGCCATGTGAGGCACATCTATTCGCTGCACAACGAGGAGGCCAAGAAGCACATTTCCGGCTGGGCCATGCGCAACACGAACAACCACAACGTGAACATTCTGAAGAAGAGCTGCCTGGGCGTCCTGGTCTGCTCCCAGCACTGCACCCTGCCCAACGGATCCAAGATCAATCTGCGTCCAGCCATTTGCGACAAGGCGCGCCGGAAGCAGGAGGGCAAGGCGTGCCCCAACAAAAGTTGTCGTGGCGGCCGGCTGGAGATTAAGCCGTGTCGCGGTCACTGCGGCTATCCGGTCACCCACTTTTGGCGGCACTCTGGGAACGCCATCTTCTTTCAGGCCAAGGGAGTGCATGATCACCTGCGTCCGGATCCGAAGAACTCCAGTGTTTCCAAGAGGGCCTTTGGCCGCGTGCCGCTGGGAGGAAAGTCCGCCAATGGATCACTCCCCAAGAAGTCGGTCATTGCGGGCCTGGTCAAGCAGGCGAAGGTGAGCCCAGATAGACAGTCTTTCACCCGAAAACTATATCCTGACCATCCTTTCCGCACAGCAGCAACAACACAGTCTGATCAGCAAGGTCCTCAAGCGTCCTGCTGCCAGCAATCCTTTGGCTCACTCCGCTCTGGATATATATCAGTACAATGGTATGTTTAATTATTTATTTCGCTATAATGATATATCTATTTTACTAAAAACTTTAGATTATTAAAACATGGATTTTATAACTTGTATCCCCCATTAGGCTGTGGCAAGTGCGCCGGCTATAGCCACTGCACCTGCAGCTACCTGGATGATAGCACCACGGCGAGGAGCCACCAGTTGTCGCAATCCTCGACTTACGGCACCAATTCCTGGCCGCTGAGTGGCTCCGAGTCCTCGGCGCCCTGCGACACAGCAGCCAATGTGTTCACGGTCAACCATCAGCACATCACCTACAACTATCCCATCTACCACGCAACTCCGGCGGCGGCAACGGCGGCACCCAGCAAATCTCCCAGTTTGCCGTACGCCTGCAGCATTTCCGAACTGGCCGCTTACCAGCAATCCTCCAGCGGGAACAGCTTTGCGATGGGTGTTCCCGTGCATGGACACACCCAGTGCCAGGGAGTAGCCTACGATTCCAGCCCGCAACTGGCCACACCAGAGCCGGAGTTCATCAACTACTCGCAGATCAAGCATTTGGGTGGTGGTGGTGGCGGTGGCGTTGGTCAGGAGGAGATCAGCTGCAAGGCCGAACCGGGACCCACCATAAAGTACAACGCCACCGTGGAGACGCAGCCGTATGTGGAGGACAACTACGACTACTACTACAGTCCCAAGGCGGAGTACGAGATGCAACAGCACCACCACCACCACCAGCAGCAGAACCACCAACAGTTTGGCGGAAATCAGGCAGCGGGACATCACTACTACGAGAGCGGTAGTGGCTATAATGGGGTCAGCTACTTTGACACCGGAACTACCACGGCACCAGGAAATACGGCAACCGGAAATGGCCTGGAAGCCGGATACGGCGGCTACTACGATCATTACACCAGCTATGAGCAGCAAATGGCGGCAGCAGGTGGATTTGCCACACCCGGAGGATCCACTGTGCCGGCAGTGGCCCCGCCCCCTGGCCACCCACCGCCTCAGCCGCCAGCGCCCACGCTGACGTACCACCATCACCACCACCACCACTTGCACCACCCGGCGGCAGCTACAGCACTGGCCCCATCGGTCACCCATTGAATAGTACTTAACCAATCCGGACACCGGAGGATTACTCATAGTCGATAGCTAAGCATAGTAACATAGTCTTTAAAAAATAGTGGTGAAATCTTAATTTCCATCTGTACGTGTAGTGTTAAACGGATTACCAATTGTTTTTCTCGGCAAATAAATTATGTAAAGTGTTGATTTCTAAAAGTAAATGTATTTAATTTATCCCCGTAAAAATGGCTTCTTAATGGGAATGAAATTTGAAAATAAACAATTTCTAACGGTTTTGAAGGCGGCTTTAGAAATCAGAGATAGATGTCGCACTGTGTAAAAATGTTGGTAACATACACGAATTACATAAATGTCAGATACTTACTTAACAATACTTGTAGTATTTTCAGAGCGCTTTTAATGTTTTGGAATTCCAAATCGATAGGAAATAATACTTTTTTTTATACGATGGATGCTTTTCGATTGGCAAGAACATATATTTATAACCAATAAAATTGCCATAAATATCTCCCGTATTATTTGCTACCAACAGTTTCTTAGGAGCCCCCTATCGGTAGAACTGTGAACTACTACAGAGTTGCTTCGCGATAAGCTCAGCAAAACATTATTGGACTAATGATTATTTGTATTTTAAAGGATTTTTCTCTTTCCATTCACAAAATTTGTGAATTCTGATTGAGGAATAGCTAGACTAACTAGTTTGAACAATACTTAACGTGTTTTTGCTATCGGTCCCTACCGATAGGATAAGGATAACTGTTTAACGAACATTCCGTCTCTATCTGCAGCGAAAGGATTCTACAAGGCATTCCCAATATTAAATATAATTACTAACACTAACCCATACACATTATGAACAGAAGTAATCGCCCATTTATGAGCGATAACTATCGTACCTTTACCTTAAAAGCCAATCGATGCGAAATTCACCTCCACCTGACGCCTCATCCTTCTTCACCACACACACATGATAGAAAAAGAGCGCTAGTGAGCACTTTCAGCGTGTGAGTGAGAGACAAATCTATAAAAGCCACTGCGTCGCGCTCAGTGTCGTGAAAAATTTAGCTGTGCTGCAAAGAGCTGCTCGAGTGCTAATTAAGTAATATTTGTACATTCACATTTCTACCGGTTCCGTCTCCGCATCTCCCATCCAACATGGTGTACCAGGTGAAAGATAAGGTGAGTCACTTAAACCGGATATACGGAGACACATCCAACGTCTATTGGGTAACCCGATGGCGCTGCCCTTTGACCCTTCAGTTCCTCTGAAAATATGGCATTGGAAGCGGCATTCCAATTGCCCACTCACTCTGAATGATGGAAAGTGGTACGCCATTCGCCATACGCTCGCCCGCGAAGAGAAGGAACCTCGCCTTCGGTGGAGACGAGCGAGAAAGCGGATGACGGACGAGAAGGTTCGACTAGCAAAGCATAGCGAAATGATAATGATATCATCTCATGGACCGCGGAACGGGTCTGAACGGTAACCGAATTTTGAAATTGGAATATTGTGGCACAAGCTAATCGGACACAGTGCCAAGATACATATACACATGTGCGCACTATAGAATCCACTTACATTGTATGCGTGCGCGACTGGCATGAGTTTGCAGTTCATTATCATCGTGGTCGAGGCCTGGTTTGTTGGCTCGAAGTATTGGAATAGCTGATATATTACAGGGTGTGCTTTCCACTTAAAAGTTGCCCGCCATGCGCGGCGATTCAAATTCAAGAAAATGACGCGAATCCGCGGGTGGAAAACCGGTTCCTTTCATAAATACAATCTTACGTCATGGAATATAGCAAAGTAAATCGTGAAAACATTTCTTATTTTTATTTCAAAATATTCGTTTTCATTTGTATGCCCACTTAAAGACCATCAAACATTGCCATCTTGCGGTCTAGTTTCGTACAGCAAAACCGCACAGGAATGAGCTTAAAATTCAAAACATTATACATACTAATCTAATTTTAGCATACTGAATTAAAAAATAATTGAAATATAGGTTTAAGATTTTTATGTTTACTCAGATATTGTATTGTTAAATGAGTCAGCAAACTCGGTTTGAGTCATCTTTAAATTGAATAGTTGCCAATAGTCATCGAGTACCATCACCATCTCCAGATTAATCATCACTTTTCGTATGGAAATGATCTAAGCCTGATCAAAATCTTTAATAGGAAAGATCAAGTTGTTTTGTGTGAACAAGAATAGCTTGTATCAAGTTAAATTTCCCATTTGCCCCATGTAAATTCAGCCAAACCAGTTGCCCATTCCAAATGAAATCGTCAATTTCATTAGAGCTCTTTGCTTGCATGTGTTCTGCGATTGGCATCGCCAGCAATTAATTAAAGGTCATTGGGAAAACGTACGTGTCACGGGCAGAGAAATGGTTGGACGAAAGGGGCTGGAACTGCCCACGAACGCCACACCTTTCGGCATGCATACATATAATTTGGAAATTCCTTAGATATTGATTTCCTGGCCAGTGGGTGCAATACAGAAACCGAAATGAAACTGACCCTATTTCACAAGTCTACTGGGCACACATATTGAACGAGCCAATCGGCGATTACTGGGCTGATTACAACTTGGCAACACGTATGCCTGATAATGGTGGGGCCTTCCGTACTACATGTGTATTTACAATAGCAGTGGATCAGCGCTCCAGTGCTCCACAATCCGATATCATAAAGTTTGAAAACAAGACCACACCTGCTGAAGGGAGAAGCGATATCTAAATATGTCTCTGGAGTGGGAAACTAATAGCGCTAATGTGTAATTAATTACTCAGCGATAATACTAATTTACAATTTCATCTGCAGGCCGACCTCGATGGACAGCTGACCAAGGCAGCCGGCAAGCTGGTGGTGCTGGATTTCTTCGCCACTTGGTGCGGACCCTGCAAGATGATCTCGCCCAAACTGGTGGAGCTCTCCGCGCAGTACCCCGACAGCGTCGTCATCCTGAAGGTAAAGGCTTGAGCAAAGAGCATATTTTTGCTTAGCTTCATTTATGTTATCACTATTTTCATATGTACAAAAAGCGATGACATAAAGGGTTAGGAACATGTTTTTTTAATCGAAATCCTTACTAAACGCGTCCCTCCTACAGATCGATGTGGACGACTGCGAAGACATTGCAATGGAATACAACATCTCCAGCATGCCCACCTTCGTGTTCCTCAAGAACGGCGACAAAATCCAGGAGTTCGCCGGAGCCAACGCCACTCGCCTGGAGGATGTCATCAAGGCCAACATCTAAATGGGCAGCGCATAGACGTCTGGCCGACCCCCTGATCCACCTATGAGTTCTCTTCGTAACATTTAGTTAATTAATTAATTCCATAAGTGCAGGGTTTTGCTATATTCCGCCTGCTCCGCCTTGTCCAGAAGCACTTGGAGCTGCAGTGCAGTTTGCCAGGTGAAGTTCAGCAGTGGCAGCAGCTGGAACAGCAACAAACGTGAGAAACTAAGTGGCTTTTAATCGTAAAATTTGCTTTGTTAACAATACCAATAAATCACACAAAGATTGTTCACTTTTGTATGAAAAACATAAAAGAACGCAATTGTAGCCAGTTGTCAAAGAGAATACGCTAAACAATAAATGTACTACACATTAGCCGTTTGTAACCGATCACATTTATTCGCAAAATTCTGAAATCGGAGCTGGGGCGAGTTTGGATCTAGGAATGGCAAATGAATTTGCGAAATGGAAGCCAAGTCAAATATTAGTAGCCAACAAGCAGACAAACCTCGCTATGGTTAAGTAATAACGATTAAAATCACTTGACTGCGATTAGATAAGATAGTGCAACAAATTTCAATACTCCACAGGCATTTGAAGTGCGTGCTCAAAATGGCCATTTCAGAATGTAAATGTACAGCAGACCGGATTCAAACTCACTTAAAATTTCCATTTCGAGGAGGCTCTTTTTGTCTGTCATAGAAAATTGGAGTATCCTCAAAATATATATTTTTACATATGCACATATATAGACAACGAAATTCGAAATCAAATTTTATATTTTATTGACTCCCGTGACTGAACTTTAGAATGCTCTTGGGCATTTTTTGTCAATTAAATAAATGAGAACTCATTTCAAAATGAAAGAAAGGTAAAAAGTGTATGTACTCGAAATTTACTAAAATCAGTGCGATCAATATTTTTAAGTTGCCCAAATTATGAGTTAATCCCTACAAGTCACTTAATTAAGAAACAAATTAAATATTTTAAGCATTTCAAAATAAACCGTTAAGCTTGGAGGCACAACCGGTACTTGGCTTAGTGGGGACCCAAACCGAATGCAACCCTGCGTCAGCTGTGTTGGTGGTGGGTGCTCTCCGCTCTCTCTGCCAAATTCGTCCGACTTTTTCTAAAGCAAAGTAGTATTGTCAGACTCACGGTGACAACAACACACCCGAAAGTGGCAGCGGTGGGAAAAACATTAAGAGAGAGTGAGAGAGAGCGACAGTGCGACGCGCGCGGGTGTCGGTCAAAAATAAGCAACATTTTCTGTGATTTTTGAGTGCGACGGCCTGTTTTGAGTGCTTCCGATACGTAATTCGCGCCAGTGCTGCGGCCAAAAGTTCGCATTTGGATGGTTTTTTTTTCGCAAAGCAAACGGCGCGCACGGAAATAAATCGGAGCACGGGGAGCATCCAAAGTGCAGAGATGTCGGGGCAATTTGCATAATATTCGGGTGGTCGCAGCTAGAAAGTTGTATAATAAGATTGCGAAAACCAGGAGGTACGCCCGGCTCACCACAAATGGACGGGGAATGCCGCGGCAGCTCCACCTCGTCCACCACCACCGCCACCACCACCACCACCATCCCAGCTGAAAGGGCCGCCACCTCCACCTTCGAAATCCAAAATATTTCAAAAAATGTCTAGTGCCCACTACCAGGCACTCGAGCCGCAGACTTCCGACGAGGATAACGAGGACATCGAGCGGCAGCACCACCAGAGCCATTCACGCAGCAGCACCACCAGCGCCACCAACGCCACCCATCCACCACATCCACCACATCCCATGGTCAGGAAGGGGGGCGTGGCCAGGAGGCGCTGCCTACTGCCCCTGGTGGCCGTGGCACTGCTCTTCGTCGCCTTCTGCTACTTCAGCCTCAGCAGGGACCCTCGCCTCACCTCGGGACTGGGCGGTGGCTCCGAGGATTCGGAGGAGGCATCCCACCATGGATTAGGTAAGCATCAGATCCCGGCAATGGAAACCCGGCCGCCAGACTGGCTTTTGAGGTATACTCGACGAGTTATACATGAGGAGCCCGAGGGGCATGGCCGGGATTGGGATCAAGAGGAGTTGCAGGGTAACCTTAGTCAGAGAATCCAAGAAGTCGACGAAGTTAAATGGAATTTCAAGACAGCAAAGCAAACGTCCAAGCAGATACAAATCCGAAACTGGCATCGCTTCGATCCCCTAATACGTGAGTCACGTTGCTACTCTAAAGTTCATCCCAAAGAGGCCAATGCAGTTGGTGCTTCTACGCGACTGCTGGCCGAAAGTGAATTGGCCGCTCTGCTCTGCCACCACTTTCACTTTCCGTTTTGGCCCACTGCCAATCAAAGCCCAGGTCACCCTACGATTTGTAGGGGACTTTAGTGCACGCCCTACGTTTGTTTGCATTACAAAAAAGTTAGCTCAAACGTCTAAATTCAGCTAAACATGTTTTTTTATTTTTAACGAATTTTAAAGAGAGTTAGGAGCATTTAAAACGTTTGAAACAGTTGGGAAAAGACCACTGTGTACACAGAAAATGTGTAATACTTTTGAAAACTGTACAGAAAATACTGACTAAAAACTATGATTTCCGAAATAAGCCTATTTATCATTTATATTACCCCACATCCAATCGAAGCATTATATGTAAGTCGCTGTGACAGCACCGCTCCATTTCTGAGTTATTGGATGCGGTGGTTATCGCATGAAACGCGTCCGCTCGTCGCTTTTCCCATTGCGACTTTGGCTAGTGGTAGTCAGGTGGCTTTATTATTATTTAACCGTAATTGGATCTATTTGGTAACTATTGTCTTGGCCAAACGCGATGTATATGTATATGGAAGTAGTCAAGTAGTCACCCAACCGCGCCTGCAGCGGCAATTACATCGATTCGCCTGCTGGCCGTTTTTTATTGCAATGAGCGAAAGCCGGAACAAGGTCAAATTTTCCAGTTTACTTGGCATTTTCATTGAATGGCCTATTAAAGGGCTTATCTGTTTCGGCCGTGGGGTAACTTTAAACTTATATTGAGACAAATATTATCTTGTTTGGCTCTTGAGCATATATTTAATTAGGTTTCCGAAACTCAACTGGATAACGGGCAATAACATTCGAGTTTAGGATTAATTATCGGGCTTGGCGAAAAAGTAAAAATAAAATCATCTACGGACATGTGATCTACGGTTGATTTGGCAAGAAAATCATAATCAAGTGCGCGATTTGAGTGGCACCAATTGTCTAATTGCACATTTCCCCACAATTTTCTAGATTCTAGATTTCGCAATGCTCAGCTCCACAAAAAGAAAAAAGCTTTTAGCAGTTTTGCCTCTCATTTCATGAGTATAATTCACACATCGCCAGAGTCTTATCAACTAGGGAAACAGGGGGTCTGGCAATCGCTTTTGTTGTACCACATTATGGCAGACCTGAAATATGAATATGTACTTGTACATATATTTATAATTTGTCTAGCTCCCGTGCAATGCAAATGGTGCTCATCTGTTTGGAGTCGATTTTTGTATCTTTTCAATTGCGCGTGTCGAGTGCTTTTCTGCCACTGCTCCCCTTTTCTACCAGCTATTGTTGCTCGAATTGCGAGGGTGGCCCCAAGCTCATCGGAATATGCATCTTTAAGCATGCTACCGTGTGGCAAGCCAAATTGCCGGCGAATTGTCTACACAAATATTTACAATCTGTGAATTGCCTCCATATATCCGGAGTGATTTGAAATGCATGGCGTGAAAGCCAATTCAGTGGAATCTATAACACATGTTCAATAAACATTTAAGTTCAATTATATTGGCTTGTGGCCTGCAATTTACAAGGGAAGATTACTGTATGGCCCATAAAATGGTAAATAACAAAAAAACAAGACATGTTTACTAGAAACATTTATTAATAAATATTTAATGAAATGTTTGGCCATATGTATGTACTTATATTGAGATAGGAAGTATTCTAGCTGATTATGTAATTAGTTGATTATATACCCGATAAGAACATACATCGGTGGAGGCACACGATGCCCCTTGCTTCTACTCATGTTCTAAATCTATTCTCAAAAGGTATTTTTAATACGCTAGCCATAGGTACTTCATTTTTGTTATCATATAGATACCGCTCTATTTCCTAAACTACTTCCCGTATCTTTTAAGAACCCTTACATATCAATCAAGAAAAGGTAACTGAGTTTGAGAATTGCTGTACTAGTCATTCCTCTATTCAGCACTTTATTTGCCAGGTTTCGATCTCTTTGTTTGAATGTGCAACAAAGAGTGAATGAACATGATAAGAGCGGGCGGTAAATCAATTTGTGACTCACCCCAGCCTTAGATCAGGTGTCTGGGGAATTCTCTATAGACTGTTATCAGGCTGTGGTCACGGCTCTACATATTCTATGTAGATATAGTCCACAATCAGCCGCAGACCTGTGTGTTCGGTTGTGATTATGGCCAGATTGGTGTCACACCCCATCAATAAGTACCTGGTATATCGTTTTTTATTATCGGATTTTATATGTATCTACGAGCATGAATTGTATTCGTCATCTGAAATACCCGCAAACCATTAGGTTTTCGAACCTATCGTATTTGTGTGGTGCATTTGGATTGAAGGGGTTGGGTTGTGCTTGCTTAGGAAATACTTTCGCTAGCCCCTTTATATTAACATTTATATTGCTGCGTTTGGGGTTGCGACTGTGAATTTATTCCCCTCTCATTGTTTGTTTCCGGTTATCAGTCATATACATCGATAATGGGTCTTTCGTTCCCCCCAAAGTTGCTCCAATTGCGTGCTTTTTACTCCTCGTTCTGCATAATTGATAAGGTGCTCTAATAGCACTGGCACACGCAATCGATCCGAACACAATATAGCTTGATAGGAGGCCCAAGATTTTAGCACTAACCCATTAGGTAATTAGCTCGAATATCTTCGATCGTATGATCTTTGAAATGTGTGCATAGAACAAACATTTGCAGGCTCTTAGCGTTTCGATTTGCTTAAATAGATACGCTTTATGCAAACAACTTCAGACCAGCTGCCGTAAATGTTTCGTTGCGGAGTAAATTTTTAAGAAAACCCGATTAAAGCATTGTCAGTTATTAAGACACACCGCAGACACACAGATTATTTTTCATCACTTTAACGCGTCAGATTGTGATCTCGCCACTACGTCACGTAGCTATGAATGGCTGCGTCAACTGGGGTCAGAGGTCAATGAGTTGGGCTATTTTAGTAATTGAGAATTCTGATTAATGCATCAAGTCCACGTCTCCAGGCAGTGGAATTCCAAAGTAATTGACCCGTGTCACCGTATAACTCTCGTTTTGCTCACCCACAGATGGCATGAATTTCCGGCCACTGAACGAAACCGTTCACATTTGCAGCGAAAGTTACGAGGATCGGCGACAGTTTATGCAGGATAAACCGCAAGCCGATTACGGCCAGCTGCCCGTAATATACTTTGTTACCCCAACGTATCCACGGAGAGAGCAGATCCCAGAACTAACCCGTCTGGCGCACACGCTGCTCCATGTGCCGCGCCTGCACTGGCTGGTGGCCGATGATCAGGAGAAGTGCAATGGCTTTATGGACACGCTGCTGCATCGATTTGGTAACTGTGGATATAATTCTTAAGAGATTCGATTTGAATAATTGACCATTGGTATTTGCAGGTATTCCCTTTACCCACATGGTGAGCCCGATGCCCAGCAAATTCAGGAATGAAAAGCCAGCGCCGCGAGGTGTGGCAAATCGGAGAGCAGCCTTGCAGTGGATACGGCAACACAATCTCACCAACGGAATACTTTACTTCGGAGACGACGACAACACCTACGACCTGCGTTTGTTCTCAGAAATCCGGAAAACGCAAAGGGTCTCCATGTTCCCTGTGGGTCTGATTGCTGATTATGGGGTCAGCGGACCAGTTGTGCGCAAAGTAAGATGATCATATGACTACCAACCAAGCAATTCGAACGATGGTGCCAAAACTACATGTAATATTAAATATGAGTTATATAGGCCGATTTATGGCGTGCCCTCACACTGATTATTCAGTTTGTATTTAGATTTTCTTTTTGAATTTCAGTTTCTCTATCTTGAAAACTATTAATCTTATCTATCGGTTTATTTAGGGCAAGGTGGTGGCTTTCCTGGACTCTTGGGTTGCCGGTCGACGCTGGCCCGTTGACATGGCCGGTTTCGCCGTGAATCTGGAGTACATGGCACAGTATCCTTATGTAAATATGCCGTACAAGCCTGGCTACGAGGAGGATCTCTTTCTGCGCAGCATCGGCCTACAAATGAATCTGATAGAGCCGCGGGGCAATAACTGCACCGAAATTCTTGTGTGGCACACACAGACTAAGTCAAAGAAGCTCGGAATAGTTCGCTTAGAGAGCAAATACTTGGACGATCGCTCTAACCTGGGCGCCCTGCTTCACAATCTTAAACTAATGGGCGTGACCAGTACAACGGAAAGTGAAGGTGCGTTATAATTGAATCAAGGTTAAACAATTTGTACAACATTTTACCTTTTCATAGGACGCGATGCACTGATCAGCAAAAATGGCAGGGAGAAACCACACTCCAGAATTCTTAGCTGAGCCACAGGTTCCAAGAAACAAAGAGAGCCCAAATAATACTCATAGACTTATAGAGCTAAATGTATAATAATTGTGAAAGAAAACTAATCTCGAATCCAGTGCTCGCTGATTTCCATGGAAATTTCCCAATCTAGTTTTCAGTCGTTCTCGTACTGCACAATTATATGTTTTTTACAAATAATTGCGTGGGTGCTGTCTCTCTGTTCTACGTTCTCATCAAAATGAAAAGTTAATAAATTATGCATGTATTGTTAATTAGTTGTAGATAAGTTTGTTCGTGATAGCAAGATAGGAAGCACAGGGACGGCCACAAAGATAGGACTTATTTAAATATATCATATTCGCTAACAGTAGGTTGTAAAAACATATAGAATGTCTATTACTCGCTTATTGTACTTTCTAATTTGCTAAGCAAAACGAAGGCGTCGGTCTATATGGATTTTCGACCAAGCCCTTAGGGAGCATTTTATGCTTGTTGTTCATGACCTCATCGACTTGCAACATTAAACACATATCATTAAGCTTCGCATAAATCATTTAGGCTTATCAAAAATTATCGAATTCGCTCAAGAGCAATGGGGAATATGTTAGAAGGATCTGTGTCATTTTTAATGTAATCTTAATGTATACTCTGTAAATCAGTCAATAAGATAGTGAGTCATAATGTAAATGAAATAAATGCTAGTTTTATAAAGCTTTCTCCAATAGAATCACTTGTATTTCGACTATTTAATAATGGATTAAAGTGAGATTTCTGAGAAAGTAAGGTAAGTATTTTGAAAATGGATTGACAACGATGTATCTGCAACACTCGTTTTCCCCTTGCGAGAGAAGCGCCATGGGAATGGTATGACACAAAAAGCAAACAATACTTTTCAATTAACTTTACGTTTCCTTGTCGTTTGCATCATGCCCATTCCGCGTTCATTCCCCATCCTAACTCAAGTTTTACTTTGCAGTTGTTCACTTTGAATGCTTCCGTGCCTGGTGCGAAAGTCGAACAGTCAAGAAAAAGTGGAAGCTTCTACTATTCATGAGTGGAATTTACAAGATAAGGCACAGCTCAGACCCGCCATACCCTATAATATTATCAGTACAATAAAACAACTACAGAAAATTATTAAGCTGATATCTAATTAGTTATTAATTTGCTTACTTGATGGTGTTGTTTCAAAACCTTTCTCAGTCAGTGCCAAGCCCAAGATTTAAAGACGCCGAAAGGTGGGATCCGGAAAAGTGGGTAGCAGAGTCATTGCAGCCGGGAATGGCATGAACGTGTTGCATATGCATCTTCCTCAATGCGAAGTTATGAGCCAAAGTTTCGTTGCGAGAAAAAGGTCGAGAAAGAGGAGTTGTGTGCTACGTGTGAATGGGTCTCCTACGGAGCGGAGCTCCTCGCAATTGGGGGCAAATAAATAGTCGGGCCGGGTAACTTTTGTGCGCCTCACCGGAAATTTGTTTGGCAAGAAAATTGCTTTAAAGTGTCACGGGGCGGTTGGCAGCCATTAATACTCGAGTGGCACAACTGGGCCTTTCTGCACTTTGACATCGTGGGGCCATCGTGGAGGTGGCAAATCGAAAACAACTTAGCAACGGGATGGGTTGCGGCTTGTGGCCTGTGGCCTGTGTCGCCTCCTGTCCGTTATGACCAGGACCAGGCCCGCATTAAGCCATTAAAGCTAATTAAACCCATCCGCCCTGGGGGCCCAGGCTAACGCCATCAATCCACCCGTTTAATACCCATTCCCAGGCCAAGGCGGGTATGCCTCGGCTCTATTAAACACAGCCAGTCGCTTCAGTTGCCATCGCCGTAATGAGTGCGGCTGCCAGCAGACAACTTGATGAGGTTGCGATTGATGTTGCAAATGAAGTCGTTCCATCCATGAGCAGCCAAGGGGAGAGCAGGCATCGGGATCGGGATGTCGTGGCTTGTTACACTTTGTGCACCACTTTCCTCTACACTCGCGCAAAACTCTTGGCGAAGCTTTTGTTGCTTTTTAACTTTTAATACTAAAAACTAGAAATACAATATATTTGTAGAAAACTCGCCTTTCCGCTTATAATTTGGTACTTAATAATCCTAAGCCTAAAACTTGCACAGTTTCTTCCACTGCATGAGCGCTGATTTTGCGCCACTTAAACTTTAAACGCAAACCACAAGCCAGGCAAGCGGACACCAGAAACACAGAGGATGGAGACGGTACGGATTGGATGCAGCTTGAATGCCACTTAGTGTCGTCATGGTGAGTGCGAAAGCGAAGCAGCCGTTGGGTAACAGGAGGGCCAAAGTGCATCCGCCGGAGAGCCGACTATCACCGCAATCGGTAGCGATATCCCACGTAGGCTGCCGGGCTGACCTGCCACTGAGGGATCGGCTTGGAATGCATTCGCGCAGGATACAGGATGCTCGGCTCATTCGGATGTGTCTTTAGGTGGGCAGGGGCAGGGGCAGGGGCAGGGGCTGGGCATGGATTGGATGCACCCCAAAGTCGGGACCAGAGCGAGGACCTGATCCGACGTAGAACACGGCCCACCTGAGGAAGTGGGCCTTGCACACTGGAGGTTACGCAATCGTCCTGGAAATTTTTGGCATCCTGACGCGCATCTTCCGTTTTGCAGTCCACTGGGAGTCTGTTTTCATACTGTTGATCATAAAATTTTGAGCGATTTTTCATGGTCTCTAAACTCAGCATTTCTAAACAGTTTTTCAGGAGATGGTGACACTTCAAAATTTATTTCAGAAATGAGTTTTGCTACTAAGGCTACATAGGAGTATAAGATTATATGCTGCTACGGTGAAAATCGAACTCAACTTACTGCTACTCATTGCCCACAATGAAATGACCAATTATCGATATTTGATTTGGGGTTTAACTTAAATTTATGGCTTGTCCTTCCCGACTGATTATTTAGTAAATGTAAACCAATTACCGCTATTTTCAGACCACCCCATTACCAACCGAATGTCAATTGCCACGGCAACCACGCCCGCTGCTTGACCGCCCCCTCCTCCCTGCCTTTTTAGCCCAGCCCGGCGCATGGCTAACAAGTTAATTTCACAATGTTTGCGGCTTGAGTGCGAACAAACAAATTGCGTGGCATTTCCGGCCCCCAGGGAGCATCGCTTCGAGTGGCGACAGCAAAGAGGCCAGCAAATCAATTGGCCAAAAGGGGGTGTGGCGGTGGGGCCCTAAACAACCGCCAATCAAAGCACACAGACACACGCATAACTCGCAGCCAAAAGTGACTATTGATTGAGCAGCAACAACAACAGCAGCCAGCACAGAAATGGGTAAATTATTATTACTAATACGACATGTGGTGAGCGGTCATTGCAGTTAATGCAGAGCGGCCAAGCGAGGGAAGTTTCTATTGAAAGTGGAGGGCGATAAGGATCATGAGATACAGATAGCTGCTAAGTAGGGCTCAGTTTCCATGCAACGCCAGTGAATGTGGCAACTTCTTGATACGATTGGTATTATCCGAACTGGTACAACCTTTTCACCAGCCCTCGCCAGCCGATACCCAATTAAATGGCTAAAACTCGGGCGGTGTTGACCAAATGTGCTTACATTTGCATAGTGCGAGTGTGTGGGTGCATTCGGCGACGGGCTCTCCCAACGTTAATGCAATAATACATTTTATTTATGCCAACATGCACGTAGCATGCAGACACGCACACTAGTGCCGCCCATGTATATGGCTCACACAAAAACTAATTACACGCCACAATGATTACATTTTACAGCGCCATTGAGCTTTTGTTGAGCAAGGCAACAACAATAGCAACAATTGCAGGATCCGGAAGTGTTAAACAACAAACACTCCCACACACTCCCACACACACAAACGCACTCACGCCGAAAAATGTTGAGCTTGCGAAGGAGTTTCGCCCCTGGCCGTTTTGAAATGTGGTAATAAAAACTTTTTCCTCAATGAACGACACCTTGGGGCATTGCATGCCCAAAATTATGCCAGAACATAGAGTAAACTAATGAAAGACGAGCAATGAGGGTTACACACCCATTCCTCGCCTTTTTAGCAATGCCACTGATAAGAAAGTATGAAGTGCCTGCTAAGAGTTGGTTTACAACATTTGCCTATTTGCACTGTACAGTAGAGACTAGGACGAAGCACCGTATTAAAATGTACCTATTTATGTTATTTTTTGGCAGCAGGGTAGCTCGAGAGCTATACACTCGCCACCCACATATTTCCTGGAATCCAATTTGCGCTCGTTATGTTCGAGTAACGGATATGCACAGCGAACCGCAGAAAGTGGTGCGTATCGCAGACTGTAGTCTGCTTTTCAGCGCACTTCTGCGGCAGCAGCAGAAACTGCAGAAACTGCAGGAGCTTTCGACATGCGTTCCCGTGCATATTTTAATTACCACAACAATATCAGCAGCGCAGCAGACACCCTAACCTGGCAGTGGGTATATCGGACCGAAATCCCGCTTCATTGCGGGCAAAAAAGCACGGTGTAATTGGCCAGGTAACTACCAGTCGGTGGGACAATTATTATTGTGCTCCATTGCAACCTAATGAGATTATATTGCACTACAAACATGTGGCAGTCACTCACGAGGATTAATTTTAATTATGGCTGCAGGACAGTGCCCAAACCCAAACAGAAACCGATCCTTGCGCATTGAAGTCTTTCAGGTGAAAGAGGGTCAACGGGTGTTGAGCAGACGGAGTGTCTGCACTTTTATTTTATTGAAATTCATTGAGGCATCGGAACGGCGATGAAAGCAGCCGAACACTGCGAATAATATTTCTTCCTCCACGCGGGCATCCTCTATTCAAATCTGAATGGAGCGCTTTAAAAGCCTTATCTTTACCCACTGCAAGTTATTTATGGCAAGTCCGAATTATTCCGTAGCACTTGTGCTTGCTTTTCCCGGCTGCTTTAGGCAACCTATATCCCAGTTTGGCAGAGTGGACACCCCTCTATGGCCGGAGTGCCGAGAAAATGCCGCTTTTGAGTAATGTGCGAAAATTTTATTTTACAATTAATATAAAATGGTTGCCTTCCCCGCCACTCGGCACCCGCCGCCCATCTTCGGCAGCAATTAAAAGCGACCAGGACCCACTCGAGGACTCCAAATGCATTTGCATTGGTAATGCTCGTCCTCTGGACGAGGACGGATTCGGATTCGGAGCAGGAGCAGGAGCAGGAGCAGGAGCAGGAGCCAGGCATTGGCCAATTTAATTTCCATGGTTGGGGGGAGCAATTGGTGGGTGGCTGGCAATGAAATATGGGGAAGACAAATTATTGGTTTTTCTTTGAGTGCGCTTAAAATGAGGCAAACTGTTTAATTAAAATGGAGTGGAACGATGCGGACGACTGGTCAGCTGCTAATTGCGGTCAACTGAAATGCGAAGTGGGAGGCGATCAAATTTCCATGAATTGGGGTGTATGCGTATCATTCTACATTAATGTCTAAGCTGAGTCAATTATTCATTAGCCGGGCGAGATAAATGTTTTAAATTAATTACATAAAATATGTTTGCTAGCGCATGCCACACGCCACTTGTTTACTCGTTTATTATGCAACACTTTCATCGCATTACGCAAACAATCCCCACTTAATGCAGTTTAACATATCGCCCGCCCGATTACGCATTAATGAAAATGCCAGCCGCAAATTGTTGAACGCTTTGGCGCTCCAGGCCGGACATTGAATATGTACAAAAAACATAAACGGTCTGTGAATGGGAAAAATTGAGGGCCAGTTTCCGATGGAGCGGAGAAGTTTTTAATTTCCGTTTCCACTGCCTGGGAGAGACATGTTGTTGTTGCTCGTAACAAAACATCAATTTTCGAAAGGCAAACAGGAAATAAAATAGGTCCTCCCCCAGCAGAACCCACTAAATAAGCAAAACCCACCCACTCAATGAGATATTCTATACTTGCAATGCATGCGTGTGACAATCGAACTCGAAAAGTAGGCAAGAAAACATTTCGCCTGTGGAGAGCTGTCGACCATTTGGATTAGAGGATATTAGCAGGCAACGCGTCCGATTTCGTCCTTTTGTGGCCATATCAGCGCCATCGAATCGAAAACTGCACCGTGTCCAGCGATGGCTGAATAGCATCTAATAAATCTCGCTCGTTTAACAATGCCTGTGATCCGGCGATGTGCGGCTTTTGTGGCATACCGGCATGCAAGTGCCACTTTTTGCAGCAGTTCCCATTGTTCTCTGCCGCTGCTGGAAAATGCCACTCCACTCCGCATTCACTTTTATGATTATTTTTCATTATCAAAGCAAGCTCGGTTAATGCAACAACAACGCTTCTGGTCTCGTGCCACATGTGGACGAGGGAGTCCACTTGCCTCCCCCATAAAATAGACAACAAATTGTTGAGCTTGTTTGGTGTTTGGTTCTCTCTGCTGGGAATTCCAGTGCCAGTTTGGTTGGCAAAATTAATAAAAGGAAAATATTTAAGCATAGTCTATGAACGGCTGCGAGCGTGGCTGGTTTTATATTGCCACATGTACACACAGCCATGACATTGTCTGCGCTGCGATAACGTGTCGTATACGCAATGCTCGCCCACAAACATGCAACACATGAGCTTGCCACTCGTTGGGGCGAGGTACAGTGGGGATTTGTTTTAATTAGTCGAGGGATTAAGTGCGGCAAATTGAAAAGAGTTGTCTTTATGGCGACGATAATTGCTTGATCAAATATTCGTGACTATGCAGTTGATGGATGTGCAAATGCCAACTAATTTATAACTTGATTAGCAGGCCCACTTTGGGCTGCTCACTCGAAGGGGCAGTTGTCAATTTTATGTACACAAGGACCCATATTGCCTTAAGCCCAAGTGTCCAGTTCTAATCATACATGGAAAAAAAGAGAAATAATTACATCTAATATCTTCTAAAGAAGTCGTTTCAGGGTAAGGAGTAAATTTATTAAGTTCAAATTTGGGGTGAGCCACATTTTATTTAAGCTTGTATGTAAAATAGTATCTAACAGATACTTTGCCTTTTGAATAATTTACTTTTTTAACAGGAAGGGGACAGATATGCTCTGCAATTAAGTGATTCCAAAATAGTTAGTAGTATCTAACAGATACTTTTTAAATGATGTACTTTTTTTTAACAGGAAGGGTACAGATATGCTCTGCAATTAAGTGTTTCCAAAATAGTTAATAGCTAGTCAGTAATTTTTCGTTCTCTGTAATTGGAGTGGGTGCGTCCAATACGGCAGTGTTCTCGACTGATAGTTTATATTTATGGCCCACGTATCGGACATAAATGGCTCATAACCGCCCAAGGCAAGTGTAGCAATTGTCTCCTATGGTTCGGCTGCAATAAGGAATAACAATTTCAGGCGGATCTGGCCAATTGAACTGGAATGCGAGAAATTGGCCTGCTGGCCAATTTAGCACTCCTCGTGCGGGATTATTGAACCTGGGCACATGTCACGCTCATCAGGACAAATATTTAAATAAGCTCGCATCTGTTGCCCCGGGCAAGGAATTGAATTTACACACTTGTGCAACATTTTACTGCTAAGCGTTACTCGGTAATTTTGCCAGCGGCTTTTTGGCAAACTTTTCCTTCCCTCGAAAGTACAAGCTAGTTTAAACTTGTTTTTTGCACAACATTTTTTTGCTCGTCCTGATGCTGTGTGATTATAACTTAAACAATGTAGTTCACTTATTATTTTCCTTTCTCTATTTTTCATGGGGTAGTAGTGTATTGACAAC